GGGGTTGAATAAAACTGATAATGCTGTGAGCACAGAAAAGACATTTGTGGTTATTTCATTATAACTGTTATGTTATATTTGTCTGACCTACAAGTGCCTCTTTAATGTAAATGTAAGCAAGATGACTGAATGATCAAAAGCAATGTCAAACTGGCCAAAACACTCAATTTCAGTGGGGGTTGAATAATTTTGGCCACAACTGTAAGTTCTGTGCAGTACGGAAATGCAGCAGGTAAGAATGGACTGACTGCATCTGTCTGAGGGTGGAATGCAGCCTGGCTAGTTCAGTCATAGTTTAGAAGCCTGTGATGGAGTCTGCTCCCCAGCCTGTTCTTACTTGCCCGGAGCTTTTCTTTGCCGCTGATCACTTTCCCTAACAGACGTATGCTCCTTCCCTACACTAGCCACTTTGCGGATGCATGCCAAAGTCTGCGGGCAAGGACTTATAAAGGCTCAACCTGCCCAAGATGCCTGCCAGAGGTCACATGCAGCATAGCCAACCTAAACATTGCCTCTGGGGACCAGAAAACCATAGAGAAACCAGGTTTCTCCGGACTTCCTGTCTGGCTGCAGTGTCGCTCCGGTCAAATGCCACATACAGTGGAGGAAACAGACTGCACCTGCTGGAATCACTCTGGCTTCATGTTCACCAAGTTCATTCATAAGCCATTCAGCAGGGAGGCTCCCATTTTCAGTAACGTGATTACACAACTGTACTTACTGTATGCCATTAACCTGGAGGAAAATGTCCTGTTGTTGTTTTTCTCCAGATATTCCGAGATTCATCACAACATTCTCCAGTAACTTCAGAGTGGTTCACTTCAAGCTGACGGCAAGGTCTCTGGAAGAATCCCAAAGTGTCAGGGTGGAGAATATACCGGAGAACATATCTGAGATGCATCTGGCAGATTTCTTTGAGAACCCAAAACAGGGAAGAGGAAGAGTAAAGGATATTTTGATGATATCTGAGGAAAGAGCAGCACTGATCGCATTTCAGGACACGGCAGGTGAGTTCACAGAGGGTATGAAAGGATGATTTTCTTTATCCCCGCAGAGACCCCCGGTCTGTGGAGAGATTCCTGGTCTATCAGCAGAATTCTGGGAACACCCCTTGAACACGGAAATAACGGCAGCTTATGTTCAGAGATGTTCAAAGTTTATTCGACATTACTAAGATTATATAGGATACAGAAAAAATAAGGGAGGGGGCGGAGCGAGTTTCAAAACTGTAACTTGTAAGTTTCCATCATGAGCTGACTACATGAAACATGACATACACATTTCTTGGTACAAATTGTTTTGGTCAGCTTTCTGAGAAACAACCAGACAAAGACATTGTCAGGGTCATGTTAGCTTCTGTTGATACATCCTTGAACAACCAAAAACAGTTTCATTAAACTTCTAATATATCTGCAAAAAGCTAACTTAATACTTAAAATGGCGTACATTAACAAAATGGAGGTTATCTAGATCCTTTCAGGGTACAGAGCAGAACTTCATATGTTGGAAGTGCTTGTTGGTTGGTGCCACTTAGGAACAGCTCTGAATGGTTTGGCATTGTTCCAAGCGCACATCAAGGAGGGATAGAACCATCTGTGGTCAACATCAGAGTGTTCAAACAGTGCTCCAGTTTGATCATGAGTGGTTTGGGCCACGGGATTGGTTCTGAACTGCCTTCATTTGACATCAATATCAACTTTTTTATCAGTCAAATGATCTACTATGTAATATTCATTGTTGACCAACAGATTACAAAAACCTTTTTTGTTTTGTTCACTTAAGAAACTTACTACTGCTGAAATGTATTTATTGATGGCCAATGTATTCAGCAGTACATTCTGGAGTACATACAGTTGTGGCCAAAATTATTCAACCCCCACTGAAATTGAGTGTTTTGGCCAGTTTGACATTGCTTTTGATCATTCAGTCATCTTGCTTACATTTACATTAAAGAGGCACTTGTAGGTCAGACAAATATAACATAACAGTTATAATGAAATAACCACAAATGTCTTTTCTGTGCTCACAGCATTATCAGTTTTATTCAACCCCCAAGTGACATTCAATCTTAGTACTTAGTACAGCATCCTTTTTACAGTTATAACAGCTTTTAAACGTGAAGCATAGCTTGACACAAGTGTCTTGCAGCGATCTACGGGTATCTTCGCCCATTCTTCATGGGCAAAGGCCTCCAGTTCAGTCACATTCTTAGGCTTGCGCACTGCAACTGCTTTCTTTAAGTCCCACCAGAGGTTCTCAATCGGATTTAAGTCTGGTGACTGCGATGGCCACTCCAAAATGTTCCAGCCTTTCCTCTGCAACCATGCTCTAGTGGACTTGGAGGTATGCTTGGGATCATTGTCCTGTTGAAAGGTCCAACGTCTCCCAAGCCTCAGGTGTGTGACGGACTGCATCACGTTTCCATCCAATATCTCCTGGTACTGAAGAGAATTCATGGTACCTTGCACACGCTGAAGCTTCCCTGTACCTGCAGAAGCAAAACAGCCCCAAAGCATGATTGACCCTCCACCATGCTTCACAGTAGGCAAGGTGTTCTTTTCATCATAGGCCTTGTTCTTCCTCCTCCAAACATAGCGTTGATCCATGGGCCCAAACAGTTCTAATTTTGTTTCATCAGTCCACAGAACACTATCCCACAACTTTTGTGGTTTGTCCACATGGCTTTTGGCATACTGCAGTCGACTCTTCTTATTCTTTGGAGACAGCAAGGGGGTACGCCTGGGAGTTCTGGCACGGAGGCCTTCATTACGCAGTGTGCGTCTTATTGTCTGGGCTGAAACTTCTGTACCCACATCTGACAAATCTTTTCTCAGTTCCTCAGCAGTCACACGGGGACTTCTCTCCACTCTACGCTTCAGGTAGCGCACAGCAGTCGAAGTCAGCATCTTCTTTCTGCCACGACCAGGTAGCGTTTCAACAGTGCCCTTTGCCTTGAATTTGCGAATGATGCTTCCTAAGGTGTCTCTTGGTATGTTTAACATCTTTGCAATCTTCTTATAGCCATTGCCCTTCCTGTGAAGAGAAATCACCTCTTCTCTTGTCTTCCTGGACCATTCTCTTGCCTTCACCATGTTTGTAACCACACCAGTAAATGTCTAGAAGGAGCTGAGTATCACAGTCATTTTAAAGCTGCCTAATTGGTGCTTATTATGCTTGATTGCTGCTCGGTGACATCCACAGGTGTTTTCAATACCTGATGGAAAGCACCTGTATGAACCTCTGTTCTTCAGAGTGGTAGTCTTTAAGGGGTTGAATAATTGTGGCAATGAAGAAACCACATAAGAACCATTTACTACTGTATTACATAAACAATTGATGTCATTTTAGTTGCATTTGGGTAGTTACAACGTCCTTGTAGGATTTGATTCTGAATACAATTCCAAATGTACACTATAGTCCCTAAACCCCTTTACAGCATTGGGGGTTGAATAATTTTGGCCACAACTGTAGGTCACTGAAATAGTCAGTTAGTAACTGCTGAGGTAACATGTTACTGAACTGGGTTTTGAAAGCCATGCAAACACAGAGAGGACATACATTATTCAGAATGAACCCTGTAGAGAATGAGCCCTGGGGAGAATGAACCCCCCACACCTCTCCACTCCAAAGCCTCAATTAAAGCCACTAAGCCACCACATTATTTGTGTCACCATTCAGAAATGAATGATTTTTGGTCAACAACTTCAACAAACTAAATATTAGGTGAAACATCTCAGTGAATCTTCTGCTTGTTTTCTTCTCTTCCAGATGTTAAAAGAGTTTTGAAGAAGGATCATGTGTTTTCCAAGAAAAAGATATCTGTATACCCTTACTACCCATTGTTGCGTATTGCACTGTATGGGAAGGATGGACCTTGCATTGAAATACCAAAGCCTATAGAGTTTAATATCAGTCCATACATACTGCAACATATCTGTAATAATGAAGGATTAAAGAACAACATAGATGTGAAGATGAAGAATAAACACTGTGAGATCAAATGGCCAGATCAAGACTGTCAGAATCCTGTCCTTCAACTCATCTTCCCTCCTACCTTGTCCACCCATCGCAGGTATGTGGCAAAGATTGTACCGAAATGGAAGGAAGAGGTTTATAATGAATTCTCACTTTTCATAGGAAATTTCAGCGTAATAGAGTACAAAATGGATCAGTCGGTCTGGGAAGCTATTAGAGAACATGCCAGCAGCTCCACCTATGACGGAGTACTCATCAAACCTGACTTTGGTTTAAAGAAAGTTTTCTTGGCTGGAATGTCCAAGGATGTTACAAAAATTGACCCGACATTCAGACAACTGGTAGAGGAAACCACTGAACAGATACAAAGAAAGAAACAAACCATGACTGAGACCATACAGATGTCTCCAGCCTTCTATCAGATCAGATGTAACAGCGGCCTGGAGAAGAAAATACAGAACCAGGGTCTGAGTACTGACTGTAATGTGCCAACAAAGAAGGCCCGTCTATCGGGACTGAGAGAAGAAGTGCTCACCGCCAAATGTGAGATACTCAACATCAAACAACAAATGAAAAGTAAATCCATCCAGATGAACCCGCACCTCATCAGTTTCCTGAAATCCACCGATAACGAGGAGCTGTCCTCTCTGTTCTTTGCACGTCACAACATTAACGCAATGCTGGAAATTGAGGATGACATTGTTAGACTGATGGCTCATTCCAAGGAAGACTTGACTGCGGCAGAAAAGCAAATTACGGAAAAACTGCTTCACGGACAACTTTTAGTTGAAAACAAAAGTCTTCTGAAATCTCCTGAGTGGAGAAGTCTCCAGTCACATCTGCTTCAGTCATTTAATGTAGAGAAAATCACAGTCCTGATAGAGGAATCTTCTTCTGGAATGGAGGACAACGTGGTCATCGCCGGCCTGACTTCAAATGTTCTAATTTGTGTCCAACACGTCAGCGACTTTCTGGAGAAGAACACTACTATGGAGACAGAAATTGGAGTTCAACCTTCAGCAAAGATGACGTTCATTTTGGAGGAGAAGAAGGAGATTTTGAAAAAGATAAAGAAAAATGTAAATGTAAGAAAGAACCAGAACAGCATATCTCTGTCGGGCCCGCGGGTGAAGGTTCAAGAGACAGAAAATGTAATTAAGAACATTCTGCACTCACTTCACAGTGATACTCTGCGTATTGAGAAACCGGGAGCCAAAAAGTTTTGTAAGGTCAATGAAGAAGTGCATGCTACAACCGCAAGGACAAACTTCCATTGTGTGATACGTTTAGAGGAGACTGCTGTAGAAAGTAATCTGTTTTGTAAATCCCGATTCCAAATAACTCTTCCGAATGGTTTGACCCTCTCTGTATATAAAGATGACCTGTGCCGACACAACGTAGATGTCATTGTTAATGCAGCCAATGAAGATCTGAAACATATAGGGGGTTTGGCAAAAGCTATTCTGGATGCAGCAGGACGTAAAGTCCAAGATGACTGCGATCAGATTATCAGGAAAGATGGAAAATTGTCCACTGGAGATTCAGTAATTACTGACGCAGGGAAATTGCCGTGCAAACAAATAATACATACAGTCGGCCCTCGATGGGATGCAAATTCACGCTCCACATGTGAACGGCTCCTACGGAGGGCAATTACCACCAGTTTACAGCTGGCCTCCGAGAAGAGTCACAGTTCAATAGCAATTCCCGCCGTCAGTTCTGGTGTTATTGGATTTCCCCTAAAGATATGTGTTGAAAACATAGTGGAAGCTATACGGGACTACGTAGAGACGCCGGGACAACAGAGCACTTTACAGAGAATCCATCTTGTAGACATGAATGATGAAACCGTCAAGATTTTCTCTGAGGTTACAAAGGCCAAATTTGGTAACCAAACGAATGCTGTGCCATCTACAGCAATGGCACCCCAGCCGGTCACAAGAGCGGCACAGAACCCACCAGAGTCAGTGAATAGAGGTAATGACAACACTGTGGTGACCAAGGAAGGACTGAAGATCAGGCTGCTTCAGAAGAACATAGAGGACTGTTCGGTATGTAGATTCACCAGCATTTCCTGCTAAAGTGGGACTCCACCAAAGAGTTTAATGATTCAGATAAAGGTAGGAAGGGTTAGAACCTCTGTTGATTCTAAATTCCTGTCTGATTTTGATGGTAGGAAGTGAAAGGAATCTGCCCAACAGGAATAAAGGCAGCAAAAAAATATAACAGAGGTTCTCACTCTTTCCACATCTGTTTACATGCTTCTTTTGGAGATTTTTTTCTCCAAACTGAATGTCAAGGGGATCTCCATAGCTGGACCCAGACAACTTATGAAACCCGACAGAAATGTTATTATTTCCATACATTAAGGCAATATAAAATACACTTCTGTGGTTAAAAGCTCCATATCAGCCTTTCTCACCCAGGATTAAAGCGGATCCCCAGGGTTCTACTGGAGGGCACTAGGAGTTCTTTGGCTGATGAGCAATTTCTGCCTCTTAGATAAGTAACCCCGAACACCAATGACCTTTTTAGGAGGATTCTTCCCAATGTAAGGAGCATTCCTCCCACCAATCACCAATGTAAGGTTCATATGTAGTTATTAGCTGGGGTTCCCTGAGATCTCACACTTATTTCAAGGGTTCCTCCGCGGTAAAAAGGCTGAGAAGGACTGATCTGGTGTACATTCATGCCCTAATTAGGAAATATAACAGTAGAAGGATGCCATTCATAATTACATATTCGTTATAATAAATAGTTCCTATAGTTTCTCACATTTTGCTTCTCTCTGTCTGAACCTGGAACAAATTAGAATTACAAAGATTGTCATTTACCGTATATCCTCGAGTATAAGCCGAGTTTTTCAGCACATTTTTTGTGCTGAAAAACGGTCCCCTCGGCTTATACTCGAGTCAACGTCTCCAGGTGTGGGCGGGATGACATGCCGTCCCTGTCATCTGGACACACCCCCGGGATCAATCCTCGCCGGTGATTGGCTGCCGGAACTGTAGCTCAGGAGAGGCACACAGGCGCCCAATCACCGGCGAGGAGGTGGAGCTTGGAGAGGAGGAGCCGAGCGGCACCGCGAAGATCGAGCGAGTGAAGAGGAGGAGAGCGGCCGGAGAAGGAAGACATCTGACCGGTAAGTGTGTACCATGGGAGAGGGAGGGAGCGAGCGAGCCCAGGCCGGAGCAGCAATACCAACGATGGGGCACTATTCCTCCCCCCACTGACACCAACGATGGGGCACTATTCCTCCCCCCACTGACACCAACGATGGGGCACTATTCCTCCCCCCACTGACACCAACGATGGGGCACTATTCCTCCCCCCACTGACACCAACGATGGGGCACTATTCCTCCCCCCACTGACACCAACGATGGGGCATTATTCCTCCCCCCACTGACACCAACGATGGGGCACTATTCCTCCCCCCACTGACACCAACGATGGGGCACTATTCCTCCCCCCACTGACACCAACGATGGGGCACTATTCCTTCCCCCACTGACACCACCGGCTTATACTCGAGTCAATAGTTTTTCCCAGTTTTTTGTGGTAAAATTAGGTACCTCGGCTTATATTCGGGTCGGCTTATACTCGAGTATATACGGTAGATTCTTAAATTGCAAACCATTTAACTCTTAGGAAATTCATTTTTTTACGAATATCACTTGGTAATGCTTGTTGTCTCATTCCATGGCAGACGGATGTCATTGTGAACAGTGTAGGAGCCGATCTGAACCTGAATAGTGGTGCCGTATCCAAAGCCTTGCTGAGTCGGGCAGGATCCAATATGCAGCAACTCCTGAACGATGCAAGTCGCACTCAGCGAGGATCCGTGTTTAGTACCAGCAGCTGCAATCTCACCTGTCAAGAGGTTTTTCATGTTGTGGTCCCTCACTGGGCCAGTGGACAAGGAACATCGGAAACGGTACCTTCAGACCTGCGGAGTGTGGTTGGAAATTCACTGGGGCTGATTTACTCTAGGAATAAAGCCTGTTCACGTTGAGAAGGGAATTTTCACTTAGCTTAGTGAATGCGGTGAAATTTTACTTAGCAAAGACTGCCCAACCACATAAAAGATCATTAAAAAAACAGGATTTTTAGCTTGCACATGATTGGATGGTTGAAGTCAACACAATTTCACCTCATTCATGAAGCTAAGTGAAAATTTCCTTGGAAAGTGAAAATTCATTGAAATGAAGGAATGTTTGTTTCATGCGGATCTTTATGAGGAAGTCAAGTCAAACCCCAAGAGGTTCTAGCCCTTTCCTGCTATATTCAGAAAAAAATGGCTGGAGTTCCTCTTTGTGTTTTAAGAAGTACATTTTCAATACTTCCCATGGGGTCCACATAGACACAAATTTGGGCCATTTTGTGTTAAGATGTCTTGCAGCACTGGGGTCCTCAGTTCGCATCCCAACCAGGACACTATTTGCATGGAGTGTCTCCCTGTACTTCTGTGGGTTTCCGTCAGGTACTCCAGATTTATTCCTCACTCCAAAGACATGCTGGTAGGTCAGTTGGCTCACCTGAGTGTACCCAAGATGGCTGCCTCACCTTCTAAGCCCTTTTTAGTCCCCAGGGAGACAAACACGATCAAATTACATATCAAATATATGTCATTCTTTATGTTTATGTCACTTCAATCTTGGACTCTCTGTTTCAGATTCTTCGCACAATTATTAAAGACTGTTTGGCGCTGGCAGAGCAGAACCAGCGGACAACAATATCTTTCCCAGCTATTGGAACTGGCAATCTTGGTTTTCCAAAGGATTTGGTGGCACTTGTGATGTTTGATGAGATCTTCCAATTTAGATGCAAAAACAAAGTACAGAGCCTTCAAGAAGTCCACTTGGTCCTTCATCCCAGTGACAGGGACACCATCATGGTAACTGAGATCTCATGTTTATTGTGATACTCTTAATCTAGAGGTTGAATATGACTACATGGCCATCGGGGTTCTGAGATTCCCAGTTCCTTGTCCTTAGCTGGCATAGAGCCATCATTAGGTGCATGGAGATGGTTCTGGAGCTGTGTAGGACCTGTTGGGAAGAGTTCCATCTGAATAACAATAAAGAGGTTAAGAATTGCAGACTTGCATCCTGCAGCAGTGTCAGGCAAGTAATGAGGGAGATGATAGTTCAGGCTTGGACAGGATACACAGACAGGACAATATGCAAGATGGCTACAAACAAACACATGGGTTACTAGAGACTTTTTATAGATGGTGTCCTTGTAGTGCACAGGAATATAGAAAGCCTCGCCCTCATCCCATTAAACCCCGGCACCTCAATTTCAAATTCATATGTTGTATCTCAGATATGTTTTCCTTGCTGTATAACGGGCATTTTCTTCTCTTATGCATTTACAGGCATTCACAAGTCAACTGAAAAATCTCACTGATGCTGCCACTAGTGGGGTCACCGACAGACAATCTGCTGAATCGGGACCAAGTATGTTCATGTAATATGAACCTGTGTCTGCTATAGGGAGTGGAACTATTCCACATATTTCATAATATACAAAGAATGCTTCATATCAGATTCTAATTGTATATATACAGTATGACCAAAATTCTGCAAAACCCCTGACCATCACACCTATGTGATTTCGTTGAACATTCCTTTCCAAAATGATGGCCATTAAAATGGAATGCCCACCCCCCTTTCCCTTGCAGTCTCCATTCCTCTGAGAGGGCTTTCCATGAGATTTTGAAGGGTGTCTGCGGGAATTTGTGCCAATTTGTCAGGTACTGATGTTGGATGGAAAGGCTTATCTCATCAATGGTGTTCCTATTCGCCCAAAAGGTGATCAGTAGGGTGAAGGTCAGGGCACTCGTGTTCCTCCACACCAAACTGGTCAAACCATCTCTTTATGGAGCTGGCTTTGTAAACAGGGGACAGTCATGGTGGAATAGAAAAAGGGTCTTCACCAAACTGTTACCACAAGGTTGGAAGAGCACAATTGTCTACAATGTCTTTGTATGATGGAGGACCCTTCACTGGAGACACCTGAACTCCATCACTGGGAAGGGGATCTACATACAGTGGGGCAACAAAGTATTTAGTCAGCCACCAATTGTACAAGTTCTCCCACTTACAAAGATGAGAGAGGCCTGTAATTGGCATCATAGGTAGACCTCAACTATGAGAGACAAAATGAGAAAAAATCCAGACAATCACATTGGCTGATCTGGAAAGAATTTATTTGCAAATTATGGTGGAAAATAAGTATTTGGTGAATATGAAAAGTTCATGTCAATACTTTGTTATATATCCTTTGTTGGCAATGACAGAGGTCAAACGTTTCCTGTAAGTCTTCACAAGGTTGGCACACACTGTTGCTGGTATGTTGGCCCATCCTCCATGCAGATCTCCTCTAGAGCAGTGATGTTTCGGGGCTGTCGCTGGGCAACACGGACTTTCAACTCCCTCCAAAGGTTTTCTATGGGGTTGAGATCTGGAGACTGGCTAGGCCACTCCAGGACCTTGAAATGCTTCTTACGAAGCCACTCCTTCGTTGCCCGGGCGGTATGTTTGGGATCATTGTCATGTTGGAAGACCCAGCCACGTTTCATCTTCAATGCCCTTGCTGATGGAAGGAGGTTTGCACTCAAAATCTCACGATACATGGCCCCATTCATTCTGTCCTGTACATGGATCAGTCGTTCTGGTCCCTTTGTGGAGAAACAGCCCCAAAGCACGATGTTGCCACCCCCATGCTTCACAGTAGGTATGGTGTTCTTTGGATGCAACTCAGCATTCTCTCTCCTCCAAACACGACGAGTGCCATTGATACAGGTAATGAGTGCAGGACAGAGGAGCCTCTTAAAGAAGAAGGTCCAGGTCTGTGAGAGCCAGAAATCTTGCTTGTTTGTAGGTGACCAAATACTTATTTTCCACCATAATTTGCAAATAAATTCTTTCAAAATCAGCCAATGTGATTGTCTGGATTTGTTTTCTCATTTTGTCTCTCATAGTTGAGGTCTCCCTATGATGCCAATTACAGGCCTCTCTCATCTCTGTAAGTGGGAGAACTTGCACCATTGGTGGCGGACTAAATACTTTTTTGCC